GTGTGCGTGTGTGTGCGAAATGTTTTGTGGTGCAGGGTGTGTGCTCAGTGTGGACTTAAAATGTGAGTGGATGTGTGGAGCTTTTGGCATGCATGCATAGAATGAAATATTCAGGTGACAGGCAGGCACTCAGGTCCTGGAAATCTCTTTCTCCCCCCCTTTCTGCAGTAGCATGCAATTATGCTGCTAGGAGTTTCTGTTCAGATTCCCTCAGTATTCTTGCTCATTTTCCTGCCGTAGCTTCACCAAAATGAGGCATCTATAAGCTGGAAAAATAACACATAGGCATTGAATGTTATTGCATAGAGACACAGATGGAAATGGGGGATACAAAGCAGTAGGGCGGAGGGGGTGTACAGAGAGTTGTTGTTGCCCACAGGCTCAAGAGCACTTTCTGCATTATACATCAGCCTCTTTCTTGTTTTTTTTCTTCTTCCTTTCTGCCCCAAGTCACAGCAGGAGATATCAAAGGCATCAGCTCTTCTTTAACCAGTTTCCAATTGAATACTGGAACACAAATGAAGGACACAACTTTTGTCTGCATTTACCAATGCCAAGTATCATACGCCCATGAAGTCATTATGGAGGTCCTTGCTGAAGGCTGTTAGAAGTGAACAGAGGCACTCAGGGTACTCCAAGAAATGTAGCGCTCTATACGAAACACCGAAAGTGGCCTGAAAGGTGGGATGACATGGCTGAATGGAGTGTGAATGGGCTGCAGTGAAAAGTAAATGAGGTTGTGTCCTTTGGTATTTATAGGTTGCTTCAGGTCTTGCGCTGGCCAAAATGAGTAGTGTGACCTTATCGTTGGTATTGAGAGAAAATGGCTTCATCTTCCTCGTCTTGGCCTTTCCAAGTGACAGGTGTACAACCGTGTCTGTGAATATGTGGAATATTGAGCCATCAGACTCCAGATGAAATGCAGATGGTTTTCAACCTTTTTAAACAGGACTATTTGCTACATATGTCTGATTTGTGTGTAAAGAATGTAATTCACTTTTTAATTTGAAGTTGTAAAAATACGTAGCATTTCAGAACACAAAGAAAGAAAATGCACAGATTATTGTCCTTTCTTGTTAAAGGAGAAGTCTGGGCATAGTCTATATTTTTCTTATTGTTAACAAATTCTATAAAACCAAGTAAAAAACAGTGATTAATTAATCCTACCACAAGATATTATCTGTGTAACCAAAGCCTGATATATTGTTTTTCTGTGCCATAGAGCTTCATCAGTGAGACCCACATTCGCACTGCATGTTTCCTCATTACAGTGAACACAGTCACTGTCGTTTATTTTGAGGAAAACCACATACAGTGTTCTGCTGCTTATTAGCTCACTAAATATGTATTCATTCGCAGCTGAAAATAGTCCCCAACAACTACACCATTTGCTCCTGTTTGAGTAACGTTTGCTAAAAACTGCAGTGGTCATTTAATCATCTCGCAGACCCTCAGATTCATTCTGAATCCTCCACATGCTCTGACACATACTCTCGTTTTTGTAGCACCACACAGGGCTGGAAAACATCAGCCCCACTGAAGAGGTGACAGATACGGAGGATAATGAAGAGGAGGACCTGGGTGTCCTGGACGACCAGCGGAGCATCATTCTCCACCTGCTCTCCCAGCTCAAACTGGGCATGGACCTCACACGGGTAAGACACTGAAACACTGACTTTTAAGATAGAACTAAAGACTGGTGAGAATACAGTTTGTGTGTCATAAATATGATGTTTTTAGTATGTAATTTTTTTATTTAATCGTTTGATTTCTCAACCTTTTGGTTTTCTTAGGTGGTGCTGCCTACCTTCATTCTGGAAAAGCGATCACTATTGGAGATGTATGCCAACTTCATGGCCCACCCTGACATGTTCCTGTCAATCACAGCAGGGACCACAGCCGAGGACCGAATAGTCCGTTTTGTCGAGTACTACTTGACAGCCTTCCACGAGGGGCGGAAAGGTGCCGTGGCCAAGAAGCCCTACAACCCCGTGCTGGGGGAGACCTTCCACTGTTCCTGGGAAGTGCCTCGGGAAAAAGTCAAACCGTTGGTCAGATCGAACCAAGGGTCCTCTTGGGAGCCAAGCAGGGGTCCCAACAACACACAGCAGGGTGACGATTCACCGGGAGAATGCTACAGAGTCCGATTTGTGGCGGAGCAGGTGTCCCATCATCCACCAGTGTCAGGGTTTTACTGTGAGTGCCGGGAGAGGAGGATGTGCGTCAACGCCCATGTATGGACCAAGAGCAAGTTCATGGGAATGTCTATAGGAGTGTCCATGGTGGGAGAAGGTGAGTTAATCCACTACATGGAACTTATAAAATACTATAGATCACAGAAAACTCTTTCCCCCCTGTTGATCTATTTTGGTATGAACTTTTTCTTTATTAAACTAGATTTCTAGATTCTGAAGAATTACAGCAGTTGTTTCAGCTACGAAAATGAATATGAAATTAAAACCGGTATACCAGTATATCGCCCAGCAATTTTCTCTTTAATTTTGACCAGCAATATCAGTGATAATGTAGCCTGTTAGTTGATCTTTAACCTGCCTTATAAATAAGGTAATTAGTAGAATCCATTACCACAAATTGCTAAATTTCATTTATTCAATCTTTCTTTATTCAGGATAGGTTGACTGAGCATGCATGCTCTTTTCCAGCAATGTCCTGTTACAGAAACAAAGTGTGAATGATGCACAAGGGCATGATTAAAACCACCATCAGATACAATGTACAGGCTCAGTGACAACCAGTTAGAGAACCTGATATAAGTCACATGTGTTGCTGCCTTTGTAATTGTGGTTACTGTAAAATCATTAGTTGTTGAAAATACTCTAAACGTATGCAATAAAGTTAAATAAAAAGGTCACAATGACATAAGCCTAACACAGAAAAAGAGTTCACAAATAACTCCGACCATTACTGAACACACTGATATTTTCTTTATACAAAATGACCTTTTTAGCTGAATCAACAACGCTGTCAAACATTAAATTACACAACAAAATGTTGCCCTTACAATATAGCTCACCTTTTGTAACATAAATGAGTTGTACTTGTTTGCAAGAAGGTTGTCATCGTGTCTGCTGGAAAACAGGAAGAACACAATGTCAAAATATTCTCTGAAAATACGACTTTTTTTCCCCTTCTCTCTTTTAAACTGTGTCAGAGCGTCACAGTGTGCTGTCCTGTATGAAAGAGTATGATACCTCTCCCATGGCAATCAATAAGTCAGTCCTCTCTGTCAGCACCATTACACTATGTACAGTAGACTGTTCGGTATGAGTCACCCTGAGCGGAAACACAGGAAGTCCTTGAGCCCAATCGACTGAATCTGGATACTCTACTGTACCTCTGACTACCTGTCGGCAGGTTATGACGCAGCAGTTCATCGTCATGTGTGGGTGCTGATGCTTCCGTCAGAGAACATAGTGACCCTCACTCCAGGAGGTTTTGATTGCTGGGTTTTTTTCTTTTCTTTTTGCAGTGCCTGCTTTCCTGGGAGCTTTTGATACTGTATTTTTTATGAATGGCTCAGACTTGGCAGTGAGTCAGCACCAGAAACTGAACAGCAGGTACAGCAGCTGATGCAGCCAGATAGCTTTTGCGTACATGCTCAGGTTTTCCTCTGGTGCTGGAAGGGTAGAGATTTTGTACAGTTTCTTAGCTATTCTGTGTCTTAGAAATAGAAGATAGATTTACAAGCTAATCTGACCGGTGTTTCACCATATTCTGTGACTATAATAAAGTGTGGCTGCATGGATTCAGCTTTGAACAAGTGGTTGTTGGTATTGAGGTTATCCAGGCTATTAAACAGGGACTACCTGGCTATAATTGACATTTTTTACTTAATTTCCAGGTACAGTAGGGTCACATTTTCTGATGGCCCGTGTCAGAATTTGTGACCTTGATAGATGTTTTGGTTTTATTCAGTTTCTATAGAAAAATCTGCAAATGTGCCCTCTAAGGTGCCTTACAAGTTGATGAAGTCCCCTCTAAGGCTCTTTAAATAAGGTACCCCCATTAAAATATTTTACAGCCAAGTACCCCCTGACCAGAGCAAAACATTTTTATATAAAGATGGAATAATACAGTGCTGTGCCATCATTTCAAATGTTAGATGCATGCATGGCAAACCAATTTGTTGTCATCATGCAATAACACAAAGACAGCATTGAAGTTGAAGTCGATTTGCGTGTTTTTGATAAGTTTAGTGAGAAACATGAGCTTATGGTTCAGAGGATCTTTGTCATTCTTGGTGGCAAGCAGGCAGCTGCATTAGACAGTTTACAGCAGTTAACGATTGCATTGGAAAAAAGGAAAATAGAATATGGTTTATCAAACTTAAATTTTTTATCGAACTTATAGTATAATTATTTTAGAAATCATGCACGACAGAAACAATGTCATGTACTCCCTGAAGTACTCCTTGGGTACCCCCATTTGAGAAATACTGCTCTAAGGTGCTCTAATCCTAACTGCGCATCACAACTTTCTCGCCAGTCCACCAGTGCCTTGCGCTGGTCAGAATATGGTGTAGCACCTTGCTGGTTTGTCTGGCATACATGCCACTGCTGTGACTCTCAATAGTTTATCTCTCACTATGTCAACCGTCTGTGTCATGCTATGACCACACTGGTTCCACATGGAGTTAAGGCTGTAGGCATTTTTGTAGTGAAAGATAGCTGCACAAGAGGTCTCGTGTAAACATGTGATGATAGAACAGAAAGCCATTCATGGACACGTGAGAGGCAGAGGAGAGTTAGAAAGGTGTTGTTGTTTACGACAAAATAAATCCACTCATGCACTGACTGACGCAGATGATGATGGCTTACATATGCCGACAGTGGATCATGAGTTTTAAGTATAATAGCCTCCATTATGGGTATCTCAGCACTCGAGAGATGCAAACTGCCTAAAGGAGATATCAACTAGTTTGTATAATGTTCTTCACAGTGGGTGTTCATTGTGCTGAGTATAATGCATTATATGTAATAGAAAACAATTATTGCTGCCTCCAGTCAAGTTAAATAATGTAACTTTCTTTTTTTAATGCCCATACACACCAGCACACTGTAATCACAATATTACTTAAGATTTAAAGCTGCTGCTGTAATGGGCGCTTCAGAGACTGTTGGAAAGAATTAAATTCTTTACATAATAACTGTATATGAGAGCGCCATATACTGCGTAGCTTAGTCATTACATTTAATTTAATTTATCTAGGATATTTAATTCCTGTGTACCTATTGCTTTGGCACATAACTGGCCTGGAGAAAACATCCACATATAAGGCCCATAGATTCAATCGGGTACTCCTAACATTTGATTATGCACATAGACAAAGAGAGGCAGTGTGCAGGGAAGTCAGCTGGCCCGACAGGCCTCAGCTGATTTGAGCTTTTGAGAGAATTGCATCATCCCCTCCAAACTGTTGCAAAAAACACAGTTGAGCAGATTCTCCTAACAAACAAGTTCCCTCTCAGTGTTTTACACATCAAACACTCAGAAAATATCTTAAAGTTACTTGTTGCAGCTTTAATTTTTTGTTGATTCTGGCAGCCACTGTGGACAAAAGCCTTGTTTCATTGATTTCAAGGGGAATCCGACTGAATCAGACCCGGTGGCAGGCATTAAGAATAACCATATAGAAATAGCCAATCTTCTTGTTGGTCTGGTGTACTTATAAAGATCATATAGAGGCATCAGAATTAAAGGTCCAGTGTGCAACATTTAGGAGGAGCTATTGGCAGAAGTGGAAAATAATATTCATAGGTATGTTTTATTAGTGTATAATCACCTGAATATAAAAATCTTGTTTTTGTTACTAGAGGGAGCAGG